TGTTCACGTATTTGTATAAAACAAAATGCTGCGACTCTTTCTTGCCATTACCTTGGTTGCAATGGCTGCTGAGAGTTGTGTCAAACATGCTCAAAAATGCACTACTACTATTAAGTTCAGCATTATTGTAAAGATATATATATATATATATATATATAATATATATATATATATATATATTACAAAAAAATGAATGCTTACGGGGACATCAGCATTATCTTGGACATTTTTGTGTACCCGTTAATTTTTTGTCGCCATAAGCATCGTTTATTTGTAAAAAAAAATTGTTCATAAGCAACTTTTATACAAAGTGAAAAGTACATACAATAGCCTGACTCGCAACGGAGTGCTGCTACATTGACTTAGGGTTTGGCTAAGGTCAGCAACAAGTTTCAGGCTTAGGGTTAGGATTATGGCAAGGTTTAAATTTGGTTATATTATTGTATTTCATTGTTTTTGTAAATAGATGAAAAAAAAAAAAAATGAATTCTAATATATAATAAATAAATTAAAAAAAAAAAAAATTAATATATAAAATAATTTTTTATATTAAAATAATAAATTTAAATATGTATAAATAAAAATAGAAATAAAATAAAAATTAAAAAAATTACATAAATATGATAAAAATAGTCGAAAAAAAGTAAAAAAAAAATATTATGGAAATAAAATAAACATGTCTCTGTAAACGCCGATGATATAAGGTGACATACTTTATGGACAATCCCCCATAATTGTATTTTGTTATTTTCTTGAAATATATAAGTTTTATAAAGTATAAAATCTAAATAACAACAAATTGAACATGTTAGCTCTGTTTTCACACTAAATTAATTTAAATTAAGTAAATAAACTCATGGTTAAAATAACATTTTACAATGATACTTTTTTTATCATGCGACGATGAGCAAAACCGTAACTTTCGGAAGCATAAAAATGGCTTGAATAAATTAATTTTAGTACTAAAGGTATATTTTAAATAAACTTTTATGTGTCTGTCTCAATATTCATTTGCTAAAAGTTGATGAAAAAGAGAAGAAAATTTGACTACTTTTTCATTTTCCGTGGTGGAATTCCCCATATATTTTAGGAAAATTTCAAGTTAAAATTTTTTAGCTCCCTGGATATTTTCCCATTCCTTTCAACTTCAAATACAAGAAAAAGCATACTTTAGAATTTAGAAACAACTCTAAGCCTTGCCACCACAAAGAAAATGTTTTTCATATTATTTAACATTGAAAATGCCACGAAAAAATTGTAGCATTGAAAATATAACAAAAAAAAATTATTCAAAGTTGAGAAAAACTGTTGATATCTAAATTTAAACAATGAACATAATGAAAAAAGTGATATTACAAGGTTTAATAGTACTAAATTAGTATTGATGCCTTTAAGGGAAAAAACAGTAATTTCAAATGTTTCCCAGGGATAAAAAATCCGGTAGTTTTTTAAAATCCAGTAGTTTGTGTCTGTGTTTTTTAATAATTTGTAACAAATATTGTTTCTCAAAAACACTTTAACTAAAGATGAAATATTTCATCTTTAGTTAAAGTGTTTGCAAAGTCTGTGATGAGTTTCATGGCCTTTTCAGCAAAATCATTAATAACTTTGGCATGATAAATAAACATAGCTACTTTTGAAAATCACTACTTGTTTCCCTCTGTGTTGGCAGCAAGTGTAATCAGACAGTTTCAATTCCAAGCAGGTTGAACAGGAGCCAAGATTTCTTGAAAATCAAACGTCCAATTTTGTGGATGAAATCAACTGTGGAAAAACTGGTACTCCTCTTTCCAGTGGCTATTTGTTTCTTTACCAATTTTAGCACCAAACTTGCACAAAAAAAAATAAAAAGTTGCAGTTTCTTCAGTTAGATGCCACAGATGCTTGTTCAGTGAAAAATTGGTTGCTTTGCCAACTACTGGGTCAGTTTTCTTGAACATGTGTAGATCATGCCATAACTAGAGATCATTTGATGGTGCATTGACTGCAGAAAAGGTGACTAGTCACGCCTTTTTGTGAAAAGTGCATTAAATATGCAAATACAACGCAGTTTCTTCATTTTATCTTGATCATAATTTAGCTGGTCAACAAAGGCATACATCTTAACACTATATATAACAGTTGCAATCCGGCAGTCATGATGGTGTGCACCAGGTTTTAACCAATACCTACCATAAAGAGGCATTTCTCGCAAAAGTATAAGCATACATATTCTCTATAACCATAATGAGGTATGCTGTAACCCTCTGCTGAAGTCAACATTAAATCTTCAAATGTAAAATTTCCACCAAGAATTTGATGGTATCAAAAACTAGTCCTACAATTGACTACCTTCCACCCTTCCTACCTTCCACCCAATTACAAGAGAATGACTGGTGTTAGCCATAGTTGCACCAGTTCCATCAGAGATTATTGGAACCATAAGACCCTAAGTAGTTTACCTTCTCTACAGTTTGGCATCCCAGCTATAAGAACACCTAGTTATTTAGCATCCTCTGGAACAATTTTCCCATCCTAATGTAATGTAACATACCTAGGGGCAACAAATGTAGTTTCAATCCCATCCCCATAATTTATTTGAGGTTTTTTAGCTGCTGTTCAGCTGCCTGTTTTTGATAAAGTCACACACTTTAAATCAGCGCCACCCTCTGAAATTATAGCTGCCATGAAAGCTATTTTTTTACCAGCTGAAAAATTTAGGCGATCTGCCATTGCTGAAATTTTTTCACTTTTGAATGGATTGCGTGGAAGGTTGCCAGTGTAATTACTCCGTTTTTACCAGAGTGGATGTTTTTTGGTTTCATAGCAGATTCAGGTAGGTTTTTAAAATCTTTATCTTCAGAATTGTCTGAACTGCATGTAACACTAGAGTCATCTGCAGATTGTAAGTTGCTTCAGGACTTGAAGTTTCCGGTTTTGTGCATGTTGTTGCTGATAGATTTTGTCTTCTTTTTTCCATTAACCATTAACATTAATCTTTTTGTCAATTCTGTTCTCTCTCTGTATTTTCTGTGTAATTTTTCTTTTGTATGCTTGGTCTTCTGATCCCAAAATAACTTACTTCTAATTTCTAACTGCAATAAGAAATATCTTCTTTTTTACTGTTCGTTATCAGGAAGTTGATCAGTTTCTATTTTATTTTGAGCATCCTGGTGAGCTATATAAAATTAATTTTTCAGATAATCAACAAACAGTTTTTCTTTAGCTTTGATTGACATCCTTTCTTCTTTTGATGTGTTCTGTAAACATCATAAAAAATTGAAAACTTTAGCTTTAATTTTTTTAAACCTTTTTTTTAAGCTTAACCTTTCTGTTGTGTTCCAGCCTTATCACATTGATTTTGAATTTCCATAATAACTTTGTTTGCATTGCAATCATTACAGTTGACATGTTCAGTCTGTTTCATGGGTCCATCTTTTAAAAGGAAAATGAAATGCAGGACATCTCCCATTAATGGAATTCTTGATGGTAACAATTGAGTTATTGGTTTTCCTAATAACCAGATGTCAATCTCTTTCTTTAAAACCAGTTTATGTATAATTAATTTTAATTTAAACAGTTTGCTTAAATCTTGTATAATGTATTGTACTACAATATTGCACACCCGGCTAAATAAAAAATTTTATTATCTAATATTCTATTTTGTAATAAAAAACGAGTATTTATATTCTTTTAAATCATTTTTGTAAACATTCAAGTACGTGCACGCCAAGTAATTCTTGATCTTTTATTGAGTTTTTTTTTCTTGTATAGTTAGCCAATAGTTTCAATTATTATAGCTAATATGTTGTGACTTCTTGATATTAGAATTATAAGAAGACTTTTTAGGCATAATTGCTGAGAAAATGTAAAATGTGTTTCCACAGAAAAATATGTTTGTTTATGGAATATGTCTGAGCTAACTTTAAGAACCAGACGATAGTATAAATCCTGTGCATATAGATGTTAAATCCATCATAGGTAGTTTAAGGTATGGCTGGGTTAGTTAGGTATGGGTCAGAAATTAATTGTTTATGCTGGTTTCAGTAAAAAATATTCAACTTTTTTATTTTTTTATTTATTTTTTTATTTATTTTTTTAATCAATTTTAAACATATTTAAAATAAACTAAAAATTAAATAACTTTTTTTAATAAAAAAAATTGTTTAATTTTTAGTTTAAGTGCTTAAAATGTTCATAATACAATTTAAGGTAATATAAATATCTAATTATTTAATATCTTCTTGTAACTTTATAAATGTAGTTCTACCAACTTTTCTACCAACCTAAGTAGTTTTTTCTGTGTCAGCTTGATTCTTGTTACAAATTATTGGGTATATTAGCACAGTTCACAATCATTAGTTCAACTTATCAATGGGCTTTTCTTAAATAGCACAAATTATAAACTCGTAAATGTTTTGTCTAATTTTTTCATAAAAATTTCAATTTACTCTCATTTAATTCTCAACTATATAAGTATTTTGTAAACAAAAAAATGGTATGCATTAGTAATCTTATCAAAAAATAAATTAAGTTCAAAGTGGAATTACACATAAAACAGAAAAATACAAATTTTAGTTACTAGATAAATAACTTTAATAAATCTAGATAAATCATAATTAATAACTGTATAATAAATGATAATTAATAACTGTAGGATACTAAACAAGAACTGGATACTAAATAAACTAAAACTGTAAATATATATAAAGAAACTAAAAATATTGTTTGATACTAAACTAACAAAATGTATTGTTGGATAGTAAACAAACTAAAAATATTGTTACTCTTAATGTTTTTTTTAATAAATTTTATTAGGTTATAGTAACACAAACATTTTCAAGCGTAAATATGCATTTTATATATAAAGGATATATTTTTAAGACTGTTATGGATTAGTTCAAGACAATTATATTAGAAATAATAAATGTTTTATTAATCAAAATATAAAAGTTCATCCTTTGAGAAACATAAACAATAAATTAAATTTTGTTTTGTCAACTTTCTAACATTTTTTTAAGGCTCGTCATAATATATTGAATGCAAGATATCCAGTTCCAGTATCTGATGCCGAAATGTTAGGTGGAATATTAGCACGCATCGATGAAGGACCATATGACGAAAGTATTCATAAGCCAGGCTATTTTAAGTATACTTTTGCAATTTTTAAAAAATCTTAATTTTTGCTTATTTGAAGTTGAAAGTGAAAGTGAAGTGTTTCTGTAGAAATCATTGTAGTTTTAATTTAAAAGTTTTTTTTTGTATCTTGAGCAAATAAACTTTATTTTCAGAAAAGTTTACTAAAAAAATTCTATTTTACACGGGTAAAAGCGGGTAGAAATGAAATAGAGGATAGAATGAAATATTTATGACAATGTTTATTCTTTTGCTTCAACTTATTTATTGAATAAACACTTTGCTAATATTTTTTAATTATGTTGTGGATAATCATTTAATCTGAATGAAATGATATAAAATTTTAATGCAAAATAAATAAATTTTTTTTATAAACGGTCAAACTTTTGGTCTCTTGATAATTTTTTTTTTTTAAAAAATAGGCATAAAAACTCTCTAAAGTGAAATTGGCTGGCTTAAACTTAAAACATATACTTGTATAACATATAACTTTATACGTCGGTCAATAATCTTTTTTCAAAAATAAATTTGATATTATCTATAAAAAGTTATGAGTTAAAATTGAAAATGGTGAACTATGTTGTGAAACTTTTTCTCAACCAAGCTGCTAATTTATTCAGCATACCAGTAGCAACTCTATATAAGCGTTTCAATGGCATAAATGAAAAAATTGGCAGTGGTTCAAACACAAAATTGCAGCTCATTTTGAGTCAACTCTGGTAGATACACTCACTAAATTATCTGATTTGGGCTTAGGTAGAACTTATAATGATGTCATCACTTTAGTTACTGACTATTTGTAACCCGAAAAGTCAATCTCATCTGTTTTCCAACGGTACACCAAGGAAAGATTGGTACAAGCTTTTCATAAACCAGTGGCGTCATAAGGTAAGTATCAGAGCTGTTGGCAATTTTTCATCACTCAGAGCAGCTTCTTGCAAAAAATAGTGTCCAAGTATTTTTCATCACTCAGAGTCGCTTCTTGCAAGAAATAGTATCAAAGATTTCAACAAAGCAGGCATTAATGAAAACACTTTATGTCATTTGTGGAATTTTAGTAAAATTGGCTTTTCTAGTGATCAAGTGATGCCGCATACCCAATATCTCTGTCTGGATGGATGGAAGGTAAACAATTCGTGCAGTGCCTCAGTGAAAAGTATGTTCCCGTCATTGAAAAAAAAAAAGTTTAATTGGGTTATTGTTAGTTTATACAATTAACTATTTAATTAAAGAAATTGAACTTTGGTTATACAAATTATAAGTACTCATATTTTCGTCATAGATGAACACTTGACACATGTTACCTATCGGGTTGTACTTACTTGATCGAAAACAATATCTTGTTAATTTGCTTACCAGCTCATTCATCACATATTCTGCAGCCACTAGATGTTGGTATTTATTGCCATGTCAAAAGAGTTAGGCGCAAATTACTTCAAGAGTTTTATGCAAAGACAAAGTTTAGCAACTTGTCAAAAGAATGTTTTACTGCAAGCTTTTTAGATTTGGTGAAGGTTTTAGATGCAAATCTCCTAATTTCAAAATACTGGTTTCTACTCAACATGAAGAATATTGATTAATCTAAATTACAACTTGCAAATATGTTTGAAAAAGCGTCATAATGTTTTAAGCGAAGCTTCAGCAATTCAAAATAGTGAATGGTATCGGTACAAAAATTCGAAATTTAAGGTTTTGCTTTGTCAAACATGCATTTCAAAGTAATATATGAAAGGCGCCAAGTTTTATTGCACCAAATAAAACTTGGTGCCTTTTATATATATTACTTTGCAGCACAAGTGACAACTCAACTCAACTTCCAGAACCTCTTAAAGAATCAACATCATCACATAAATAAAATAATTTTCTTTATTAATTGATTGTTTTTTAAATTGTTATTATTGGTTGTTTTTTTTAATTGTTATCATTTTGTCAGCAGAGAAGGAAGATGCTTTATGTCCATTATTTGCGTTTTCGAGAAAATCAAGTTTTAAAATTTAATTTGTAAAGACTGCCAAAACACCTGACTAATTTTTTAAATATTATTAAAAGTTATAACATTATTGAGACTAAATTTATTGGACAGATATCCCATTGATTGTTGAATATTTATTGATAATAAACAGAAAAAACACATAATATGGGCATATGGCCTCTTGGTTCTCGGCTGACAATTTATTGCATATTTTAATAAAGTATTTTTTTTAATTACCCATCAATGATGGCAATAATGACATATTTCATTCTAAATATGAGGGAATCTCATGAAGGAATCATCTAAATAATGACATATTAATATATAAAAAATTTCATTCTACCCTCTAAATATGAGGGTAGAATGAAATTGTTTTTTTTTTTCCCAATTAAATAAAGTTTCTTAAAAGACTTTTATAAAAAGTATATTTTATAGAGTATTTTGTTTATATGTATTAAGTATAAGTAATAATTTTTTAAAAAGTCATTTGATTTTCATATATATAAATACACCTCAAATCAATCAGTTTGCAAAATTTTGGTAAATTTTGAATAAACAGTATGATCGAAAATTTTGATTCTTGTTAAAAATTTTGATTCTTGTTAAAAATTTTGATTCTTGTTAAAAATTTTGATTCTTGTTAAAGATTTTGTGTAAAACTCTGTGCAAAAATAAGTGTTTTATGTTTTTTAAAATTAAAAAAAAAAAAGATTTAAAACTCTTAAAGAAATCCCAAACCTTCGAGATATGTTGTGTTCATATTAAAGGAAAGATAAAAAAAAATGTTTGAGCTAAATTTTTTTGAATAAATCAAAAGAATAAATGCATACCGAGAAAAATTAACTTTTATTTTAGTGAAAGCTTCTCTGTTTAGTCTTATACTTCTCTGTTTTGTTATAGGCTAAAAAGTCAGTGTATTATACGCTGAAAACGGGCTTGAATAAATTATCAAGGCTGTAGATTAGGGCTTATATTATGCTGACTTTTTTAGCCTTCAACAAAACAGAGAAGGCAAGCTTTGACTAAAATAAAATAGTTAGTTTTTCTTGGTATGCATTTATTCGTTTTTGTTTTTTTTTAAAATTTAACCAACATTTTTTTATCATACTCTTTATATGAACACAACATGTCTCAATGGTTTGGGATCCCTTTAACTATTTCATTTGACCCGCTTTTAATCTATAACTTATAATATTGTTATAATATAAGTTGCCAATCAATTTTTTTTTTGCAACATATTATAACTTACAATGTTTAATCAAACAGTTTGCAAAATTTCGGTTTTTGGAAAGAAAAAGTATAAAAGTTTCGTTGCTCGATTTTTATTAAAAAGAAATTCCTATTAAAAAGATTTATGTAAAATATATCTGTGTAAAAATATGTGTTTTATGTTTTCAGAAATTTACTATCAAAGTATTTGCCTCAATATGCATTTAGTACTAATAAAATTATCCAGTACTTTAATGTTTCTGCTGAGCACCGTCTTTTTGCCCGATATAAAGAAGTTAGTGATAGAAGTAAAGAAACATGTGAAAGAACATTTTTGAACTATTGTCGCAGTTTACCATTTTATGGGTGAGACATTTGTCTTTAAGACATTTTTCTGTGTTGCAACAATTTTAATTATTTACATGAAAAATTGATTAGTAGATGTTGTAGTAGATTTTCTTCATTTGTAGAAGCAAGAACTCTTGCTCTTGCCCTTACTCCCGTAAATTTGTGGGAGCAATTTAAAGCTCTCACAAAATTTTTTTACTTTCAAAAGTGTAATTATCATTGTAGCTAAAATCAAAAACATTAAGTCAAACAGGTATTTTATTCCGGATATTTCCGGAATTCTGGATATTTTTTTCACTTTTTAGTTTTTCCGGATATCCAAAACATTTTCCATACATACATGTTTGAGTTTATATTTTTGTAATGTATTTGTTTTTTAAGCTTTTTCACTTATCGCGCATAGAAAAAATATAAAAAGTTTGAAAAAAACAAAAAAAAACAACTAAGCTAAAAGGAAAATTAGGGAAAACATATTCCAGATTTTTTCCGGATATTTTATCCAAACAATTTTCCAGATTTTAAAAATATGGCCTGGATAATCTATGGTCAAAAAAAGGCACAGTTTTTGAAAAAAAAAACTTTACGTCTAAAGAATTTTTTCACAGTGCAATAAATGACACTTGTTATGAGTGTATGATTGTAACATTAATGTCATAAACATGCTTGTAACAAGTATAAATCCAAATTTTGTATTTAATAAGCAATACCAAAGTTTTAAAATAATCTGTCATTCTCCTACTTGTTATTCATTCTTATATGCGCATTTATTCATTTTTATATGCGCATTTATTCATTCTTATATGGGCAATTATTCATTTTTATATGCGCGCTTATATATGCGTCAACCACCCATAAAATCTCTAATATAATTTAATATAAACAATAAATACGCTTTTAAATTTTTATATAGATATATTTAAAATATAAATTAGGTTGTTTTTATTTTCATTTATTTAAGAAATGGTTGTCGAGCCAGCGCTGGATTTATGTAACTACGCATATGGTTGTAAAATGGAACTATATAAAACTCTGTAGTATCCATAATATTTTTAAGTTTCCTGATTACATCATCCATATTTTGAGGTCTTTCTCCCTGTTTGTAAGTATGTTTTAAAATTCTTCTATTGGATTAAGCTGTGGCGTGTATGCTGGTAGATACTTAATAGCTATACCATGAGAGGCTAGTGTTTGCCTAACAGAAAGACTCCGGTGGAATTTTCAATTGTCTATAACAAGCACCGGTGCTTCCTAATTGCTGGTGCCGTCATTGTAGTTATGAAAGTACAAAATGAATCTGCATTCCAGCCTCCAGTTTTTGTTTCATAAGGAAGCACTCTAATTGTTGAAACAGTACAAATTAAACTAACATTTTTGCCACGATTTGCAGGTGACTGTAAAATTGCTGGCGTACCTCTTAGCGAATAACCATATGTGCTGTTAGTGTGCAAAATCTAGTTTCATCCAAATATATAAGTTTTTCATCTGAAACTCTGTTAATTTCGTTTGCAAATGCATAGCATGCATTAATATTTCGTGTTGAATTTCGTTCTTTTGGCACATGCACAACATGTTTTCTTGATAAATCCGAGCGTTTGAGTTTTCTTGAAATAGTAGACAGAGACATGTTGAAGCCTGCTGCAGAAAGATTTTCTTTTATTGTTTCTTGCATGCAAAGATTGTTTTTTTGTACGCATAATTCGATGATATTTTTTACTTGAGCATTTATAGGTCTTTTACCTCATTTTTTATCAGAAAACGACTTGAATGCAGTCATGCCATCGAATTCTCCTCTGTTTAACTTAACAACAAGATTTTGAACTGTACCCTTCGATAAATTGAGAAGAGAAGTGGAAATACTTGTTGTAGATTGATTTCTTTTAACTAACTAAATGCTTAAGCATTTCAATGTGCTCTTTTGTAGTTTTTTTTTTGTTTTACGATTGGTACTGCTATTTTCTATTCCATCCATAGGGTAAAAATTTGATATTAATAATTATAAATAATTAAATATTAAATCTAGATAAATAAATAATTAGATAAATATTAACTTAATCAATCAAGAAATTATATAATAAAATTACAAAAAACTAATTCTAAATTAAATAAGCTATCATCGAAAACAAAGAACTAACACTAAATTAAATAAACCATCATCGAATGTAAAAAGTCTTCGTTTTAAGTATTTTTAACCTTGTTTACCAAGAAATAAGAAAAATTTGTTTTAAAAAAATAAAATGTTTTTTTAAAACAAATTGCTTAAATGATTTTTTTTTTGTTTATATTGCTTTTTTACAATTGCTTTTGTAAAACCCATATAAGAATGAATAAATGCGCATATAAGAATGAATAAAGGCACATATAAAAATGAATGAATGCGCATATAAAAATAAATAAAGGCGCATATAAAAATGAATAAATGTGCATATAAGAATGAATAAAGGCGCATATAAAAATGAATAAATGCGCATATAAGAATGAATAAAGGCGCATATAAAAATGAATAGACGCGCATATAAGAATGAATAACCCTGTAATAAAGCGATTGTAGTTTGTAATTTTTATATACGATAACATTTTCAATCACAAAGAAGAAGAGAAATGAATGAACTTTTATGATAATATAATTAAGATCATTCGTTTTTATAAAACAACTATATTATGTATGCTTTTTATTTTTATTTTTTTTGCATGTTATTTTTCTGTCTTTTTATCGCTGAAAAAATATTTGTTATTGCAATTAGTATTTTTACTATATCTGGCATGAAAAATCAACAAAATAAAATTTCCATATAAATTTTTTTTATCAAAACATAATAATTTTAGTTTTTCAAAAAAGCCAGTGCAAAACTATTTAGGCGGACGGTCTGTGTAGCTCGCAAAGATGGGTTTAGATGGACTATTAAAAGACAGGCTTTTATTTTCACTACAGTACTGGCATACTCAACATTTGTATTAAGTTTTTTTAAAATATGCAAATAACATTATGTTGATAGTTACAACAACTAAAATAAAAACTGTTAAACATACATTTAGCGAGTATCTTTAATCTGATTTTAAATGTATACTTATATTAAACCTTACAAATCAAAATAAAAATGCTGCACCACTTAATAACCAAATTTTAGCTGATTTAAAATGTTAACTATACTATTTTTAAATAGAAAAGTTAACCTTTTCTGCTTACTTTATCCTAAACAGCTTTTTCAGAATAAGAAGGAAAAACCATCCTAAACTCTTAGTCAATTTACATTAATTTGTTTACATTATTTATTAAAAGTTTATTATTTTAGTAACAATTTTGTTATGAAAGCAAAGATTATTTATCCAAATATCATTTGTTAAAATTATATTGCTGTATATATCATTTATTAAAAAATAATCACTGCAATTCAACTTTCGTTATAACAAAAAAAAAATGTTTAACTTAAGTTTTGTGCAAACTTTTGATGCAGCCGTTTATTTAAAATTTAATTTTGAGTAAAAAACAATTGTTTATGAAGGAAAACAAAAAAAAAACAATTGCGATAAAAATTAGCAAATTTTTTTTTTTATGAAATAAAAAAATTAAATATTTAATGATATTTAGTAAAATTTTTATTTTTAAATAAAATAGACAGTTAAGTTAAACCCAAGCATTAACTTTAATTTTAATAAACTTAAATATATTTTTTAAATCAAAATTAATTTTTTTTAATTAGAATAAAATTATATACTTTTATTAAATTAGTTTTAAATTAAATCATATGTTATTTATCAGAATTAAATTATATTATTATGATCTTTGCTTCAATCTTCATTTTAGCTTTTTCATGTGAAAAAATTAGTCATTTCAATAAATGAAAAACAAATTTAAAATAAATTTTTAACTTTATTTGAGTTTTTTTCATTAGTAAATAATGCATATATCTAACAAAATTGTAATTCAAACTTTTGTAACCAATATTTTTACATTTCCTCATTTAAAAGTTAATGCAGTTTATTTAAAAATTAATTATATCTTTTATCTTACAACTTATAGAATAATTTAAAAGTTAAAAAATAATAAAAAGTTGCTTAACCAAAATTGCTTACTGCTTACATAAAATCACTTAAGGTGTACATAAATTACTATGTGAGTAATGCTTTAAAATAAGGCTTGATATATATATATATAAGCTTCGGCAAGAGTAAATAAGTGCACGAGTGCTATATGTATGTTTAACAGTTTTTAACTTAGTTGTTGTAACTATCAACATAATGTTATTTGTATATTTTTAAAAAACTTAATACAAATGTTGAGTATGCCTGTACTGTGGTGAAAATAAAAGCCTGTCTTTTATCCTTCTTTCTGTTAAACCGCTAAACATAAAAAAATATAAACATAAAGCTAAACATAACATAAAATTTATCTACCAAAGGTGCTAAGTAGATCTTTTTCAATATTAGAATGTTTTTCTACTTCTTTATTTATGTCTAACTTCGCTTTTTCACATCTTTAAAATGTTCAGCCAGATTTACTTTAATCTATAGCTCTATGATCAACAGCAGCTTCAGTAAAAATGACACTTGTTACCTTCTGCATAATACCATAGATTTCCCTAATTTAGAACAGTCCCTAATTCTGAACAGCTTTAGTTTAGTTAGTTGTTTTTTTTTTTGGATTTTTAAAAGAAAAACTGATTAATAAATTGGAAGACAAGGAGAGATGAGAATATTAAAAAGTTTAAAAAAAAATTTTAAAAATATATATTGATACCATGAAATTTTTTAATTGCAAGTAAAACACTTTTTAAAACCTTGAAAAACCAACAATATAAAACCGACTTTAAAAAGGCAAAATAATTTAATGTTTGATGTAGAATGATGGTGATTATTTATCTGAAAGAAAAAAAAAGTCAAAAATTAGCAATACTTTGTAAGATATTTAAAAAACAATACTTTTCTGCATAATTTAAATGTTTCCCAAATCCGAACAGATTTTGGAATGCATTTTATTTTTTGCAAAAGTTGGCATTTTTTACATGCAAGTAATTAACAACAATTTAAAAAAACAAATAAACGCTTTTAACTTTTTTAACTACTTTAAACGTCTTGTTTATCTTAACGTTTTTTAATAAAAAAAAGTTCAAAAATTTAAAAAAATGAAGATCATGAAAGTAAAATTAAACTTAATATTGAGGCTATCAATAATAAACTGTTGTATTCAGAAGGCCCTTTATGCTATAACATTCCTAAAACAACTATTTTTTGCAGATTAAAAGCAAGGGCATTAAGCCAAATAACTGAGAGGCTTATAGTTAAACCTGTCCAGTTTATGAGTGACAAAAGAAGTATTTCTCAAAAAACTAGATAGGATCAAAAATGATGTTAAGCATCTTTTGATATTAATAAATCAGTGCTTTGTGTGCTTAGAGATAGATTAAAATCTCTTTTTGGTAGTAAAGAAAAGGGAACAATAATTTTTTACCCTTTTTTTTACTAGAATAAAGTTGGAATGAGTAAGCCAGCATGGAAAATAAGAACTCGAAGGCAAGTGGCCAATTTGACTAAAATTGGAATTGACAGTCAATTTTTTTGAACAGTCAAATTTTTTGTATTTTTCTTTTTTAAAATTTTTATCTTAATAATAGTTCTTCGTAAATGAAACTTTAAAGAGTAAACAGATTCTATCTGTTGACCAGCCTTGCACCCCTACTTCATTTATTAGGCTGGTACAGATGTATTTTTATTTTTAAAGGGATCCCAAACTCCCAACACATGTTGTGTTCATATTAAAGATAATGTTAAAAAAAAAGGTTTGAACCAAGTTTTTTTGATTAAAAATGAATGCATACCGAGAAAAACTAACATTGTTGTTTTAGCCAAAGCTCGCCTTCTCCATTTTTTTCAATAACTTGGAGTCTTTAAATTATATGTTGCAATCTACAGGCTTTTACAATTCCTTTGAAGCGCGTTTGATTCATAAAAGTTTTAGTATTTGACGTCAAGGTAGACTTTTAACAAATGAAAATCTGGAAATATTTTTATTTATTTTTATTCAAAATTTTTTTGATTATTTGTTTAGTTTTTTTTTTGTTTTTTTTTTAAACATTTAAAAAAAATATTAAATACCTCAAATATTTTATGCTGGTTCGTTGCTATAAATTGTTATTGTGCCATATATTTAATGTTTATAAATTATGAATATTTATTATCTCAATCAAGACTCTGATAAAAAATTGTTTTACATTAATTACCCTTATAAAATTAGAAACAGCATTTTTATTTGGTCAGGCAATATTTCATCTCAATTTGCTTTGCATGAAGTTTGGGAAGTCAAGCGAAAAAAATTAGTTTAAATAATCACTTTGAAATATCTTTAAAACAAATTATATAATGACGGGGGTTTAAAAGTTTTTTATAACAAATGTAGGTAAAAAATAAATAAATAAATAAAAAGTTCAACATTGAACATCATTTCTTTATTATATTGCCACTGTAAATATTGAAATATTAACTTGAACTAAATTTACTTATTATTTAGAACGACTAAGCAATAAAAATAAAAAGCCCCTAAAATTATGCGATATTGTGTTGTTTATTTGTTGTTGGTAATGTTGTTTATGTTGATTATTTTCATTAATATCAAAATAGTCCCAGATTTTTTTTGCGATGGCCCTTGGGTAGAAATCTTTTGTCTTCCTGCAGACAAATATACTTCTTACATAACTTCTTGGATTCAGGCTAGCATGGAATCTTTTATTTCCCTGTTATCCGTTTCATTACCCTGTTATAAATTAGAATAAATATTAAAACAAAAAAATTTAAATAAGTAAAGTTTAACAATTAATTAAAATTTGATTGTATTTTAAAAAAGCTACTCTGCAAAAGTTTAGAAGCTGTATCATCCCCAGCAATTAAATAAAGTTTTTGTAAATAAAAGCAAAGTTAAAAGCCAAAATATTTGTGAAAGGGTCAATACAAAAAAATGTTAATTATAACAAAATAATCTGTATAGCCTCCTGTTTAGAAACCAAAGCATTTCAAAGCATATCTGCAAGAAATTTCAAGATAAAATTTGTAATAAATCTTCTTAGTTGGACAGTTAATGACTGGCCAAAAGTTAATTCCTCTAATGAATCAGAGTTTATACTATTCTGTAGTGGCGGAATCAGGCATGTTAGATGTCCAATTGAAGACAGAAATTCAATCAAATCAATCTAAAATATCTGCAAAATGTTACTTGCTGTTAAGCATGCTTAATGAAATGTTATGGTTTGGGGGTGTTTTAGCTGTGAAAATGAGTATCCCATTTATCGTATAGGTATTACAGACCAGAAAGTTTATTATGAAGAATGTTATGCTGCCACATTTAAATTATAAAACGACTTGCAAATACATCTAACAACAAGATTCCAAGCACTGTGTGAAATCTATTAAGGAATATCAACAAAGACCATTTATTTGCTTTGATTAAAAAATGTTGGTATAATTAGATTTGATGCCTTGTTGCTGTTTTAAAGGCAAATGAAATATTATCTTATTTTAACAATTTTATTGAAAAATTTTTAAGAGTTTTAATTAAAGTTTCAACTTTTTTAAAATAAATATTAATCAAAGTTCAGTCGCTTTAAAACTTTTGCATGAATAACATCTAAATTTAAATTAAGCATTAAATTTTACAAACTTTTTGGTATTTTGAATTGAAATCAAATAAAGCACTTTTGGTAAAATTTTCAGTTTATTTGAGAAAGTTTGTGAAAAGTAATGATTTAAAAAGGGGGGAGGTTTGGTTAACAGACAAAAAGTGTCCTGATTTTAAACTAATTTTAGGTTGTATGGGCAATATGAGGCTGATTTTGAAAATCGTGTTATTTGTTTATAACAAGTCACTTGTTATAAACAAAAAACTATATCTCAAAACAAAAATTCAGTGAAAATTGGCTTTAAAATTAAAAAAAATATATATTGGTAACCGATAAATAATAAAACTTTCATTGTAAATCCTCCCGCTTTTTTTTATTATTTCCTCCTCCCATTTTATACATCCTGACTAAAATTTCCACCCCCACCTACCTTTGTATTAAGCACATTAGAGTAGTCAGTAGCAAAATCCCCCCCCCCTCCTCCGCACGATTTTTAAAATGAGCCCCATATCTCACATGCAACCTAAAATTAGGACACTTTTTGTCTGCTAACCCCCCCTCCCTCTCCCGCAGTTTCGCCACTGAGAGTAGTACTGACATTTACTTAAAACTAAAAACAGAGGTGTTCAATTTAATAAATTTTAATTATAAAGAAGTATATTTAGAAATATATTTTTTTGTCTTTACTTTTATTATGATTTAATTGATTATTTAATAAAACAAAATTTAAGTTTTTTAGCCTCCCCCCCTCCCCTTTTAATATAGATTTCTCCTAAGAAGTAAATTACCAATGTTTTCATTGGTTGATTTTAAAGTGAACGCGCGTTTTTTCCGGACCGTTTGTAAGATGTTTAGAAATGCTAAACTGTTTATAAAAATATGTATTCGTAAAAGTTGCTGAGGTTTTTAACATTGTTTAAATATCCATTGTATTTTTTCTAGATGCATTACTACTTTAATTAAAGTTTGGAATTACTTAACTAAATCATTTTTGTTTATAATATCTTGATTATGTGTTGTTTGATCAAACAATAAACTATAAATGTAACATAAAAGAGTGTTATAAAAGTAACAACACTGTAGTAGTATTACTTTTGTAGTCATAAATTTATTGTTTTGTTTTTCATAACATTTTCACTAACAAATTAAAGTTTATTCGCCTATTCCGTAAATTTCGTGGTTTTCCATAAACTGAAACTTTGAAGACCAGATAATTTAACAGATATCGCAAATCGCGATGCGTTAATTCAACCCTTGTATAGTAAGTGGGCCTGATTTATATCCAGTTTTCCAGTAGGGAAAATGGACCCAGTACGCGCCTGGTTTTCAGTTATTTATTGAAATTCCTTTTTTAGCATCTAATTAGTTACTAACTACTTTTTAATTTTAAATAAATTTCTCTTCAGATGTGCATTCTTCAAAGGAATAATTAGTATAGATGATAAGACTTTATGGAGGAGCCCTGAAAAAAATATTAAAATTGGAATAAACCGACTTGGTTTAAGCTTGTTTAAGTCATCTAAAGATGTAAGTAACATAAATTTGAATTTGATTCATAAATTAGAAATTTATATTAAATATTTATTATAATAAAAAATTTATAAAATTCTATTGAAGTAGTGACGACACCAGGCACTACTATACTGACAACTTAAAGACACTGTGTCCATTATTTGTTCTTTTTCCATCAATGTAGTCTTTAAAAGTATTTACAGAGCCTGTGTAGGCTGTATTTAACAGAAGTCCATTCCATGCATTTACCACGCGGTTAGTTAAGAAATGCTTCCTCTCTTTGCAATTTTTGACTACTTGCTTAGATAATCATCAATTGTGCCCTCATAGGCAGTAATTCAATATTGATGGTGCATACACCTGTGGTACAGCAAATTTTATCTTTTTTCGATACCACGAACTGTTTTAAATTGGTTAATTAAATCACCTCAATTTCTTCTTTCTTCAAGATTTGTGAGTCCAAAGATAAGAGATGTGCCTGAACCAGTTTATGCCAAGTCCCTGATTCTGGGTTCTTGGCACCTATTCCATATTAATATGGTGGAATAAAAACTTGAGAAATTTCTTGTGCTGAATTGTTTTTTTCACAAAATAACGCTGTTAATAATTAATTTGTGCTAATTAAGTTTATCTAAATATATATTAAGTTTGTTAATATTAAGTAATAATTAATATTGTTATTAATATTTGGAATAAGGGGTCGTCCATAAAGTATATAAGCTTTTAGTTTGACCTCTCCCCTCCCCATCGCATTTTTATATACACTTTTTCAAGTACCCTCAATCTCCCTAAAAGTACCCTCAATCTCCCTAAAAGTACCTATGCTTTTAACCAACCTACCTAACATTTTATTATATTTTTTAATTTAGTCTTTACTTTTTTAATTGAGCCCTTTCACCCCCCCCCCCCCAACATCTCATATATGCCATTTGCAGACTTCCTGTCCTGTATCTGAGCTTACTTTATGGACGATCCCTAGCTTGATGTCTTACGTTGTTAATTCCAAAATCATAAAGAGAGCTTTAAAATTAAAATTAACTTTTTTTTTTTTTTTTTTTTTTTTTAACATCTTTACTTCCAACAAGGCTGCAAGCAACCACTATAAGAGTTGGAAGTTACTGGAAGAGAAAAGACTAAATCTGTAGAGCAAGATAACGATTGACTGATGACTTAAAAGATTGCAAATTATATGAATCAGGAAAGCAAGATGAAGGAAGCGAATTCCAAAGAACTGATGTTCGAGGAAAAAAACTAGAAGAATAAGAGTTTTTGAAGCACTTAGGAACAGTCACAGAAAAAGGATGAGACTTAATTGAATGGCGAGTAACACGAGAATGAATTTTAGTAGATGGCACAAGGGACGCTAGCTGTTTCGAGCAGTGCCCATTATAGTATTTGTAGAAAAGAGAAAGAGAAGCAACATTACGACGATGTGACAAAGGTTGGAGATTGGCTGCCAGAGCAGGTCCAACTATGTTTACAATTCGTTTTTGCACCTTGTCTAAAAGAGAAAGAGCATCATTAGAAGATCCGCCCCAGATGTGGCAACAGTATTCCATACAGGGACGGATTTGAGATTTATAGAGATAGAGAATAGAATCTGGAGTAAGAAAGTGTCGAGCTCGATAAAGAGATGCAACCTTAGCAGATGCTAATTTTGCAATGGATTTGATATACGGTTTAAAAGAAAGATCAGAAGTAAGAGTTAATCCTAGAAGATGAATGGTAGATGACTCATCTAGTACATTACCATTCATAAATATAGGAAGATCTAAATTATTAGGATAACGATTGGCCGAATAAAATTGAGTTTTATCTGAATTAAAGTTCACCAGCCACTGTGAGCCCCATGCTGTAGCAGAAGTGAGATCCTTTTCAAGCTCAGATACCCCCTCCAAGCAATCAGAGAGTGTAGGCTTCTTATCATGACAAGAGTAAATGGTAGTGTCGTCAGCGAATAATGCCACCTTAGATGTGAGAATATCTGGAAGATCGTTAATGTAAATTAAAAAGAGTATAGGGCCAAGGATTGAACCTTGAGGAACCCCTGAAGTTACAGGATGTGAAGAAGAGTGTTGTCCATCGAGGACAACTTTTATACTACGATTGGAAAGAAAGGACTCAATAATCTTAAAGACGTTACCAGCTACACCATAAGAAGAAAGCTTATGGAGAAGACCAGCATGCCAAACTTTATCAAAAGCTTTAGAAATGTCAAGTGCGATAGCCTTAACCTCTCCACCTCTATCTAATGCACGGTAAAACCTATCGGTTATTACTGTTAGCACATCAGCTGTAGAACGAGAAGACCGAAATCCATATTGATGATCAGAAAGTAAGTTATTTGATTCAAGATGAGAGATTAAGTGTTTGTTGATTAAAGATTCAAAAACCTTGCTTATGACAGGAAGAAGACTAATGCGACGGTAGTTAGATGAATCAGATCGCTCTCCGGAATTTTTGAAAATAGGGATAACAGATGCTGCTTTCCAGCATGATGGAAAACAAGACTCTGATAAGCACTTGTTAAAAAGTTTAGAAAGTATGGATGAAAGCTCCGGAGAACACCTCTGCAAGACTACAACAGGAATGTTGTCAGGACCACAAGCTGTTGAAGAGTCTAAGCAGGAAATTACTTTAGATACAGAAGCGGAAGTGATGCGAATGTCAAGCAAGGGATCAACCTGTTTGACGGCTATGTCAGGTAAAACGCAACTAGTGGAATCAAGAGATGATATTGATGAAAAGTTCTTAGCAAACAATTCAGCTTTGTCTTTAGGTGAGGTGACAAAGTCTGAACCATACAAGAGAGAAGGAATAACAGATTTGCCCTTATTATTGATACTGTTAAAGATTCTCCAGAAGTCTCGAGAGCCTAATTTTTGTGATGAGATACAAGATTTAATGACCTGGGAATAGCGAGCTTTGGCGTCAGACAAAACCTTTTTACAATGGTTTCTGGCGATAGATCAACTTAAATCAACTTCAAAATTCTAATTCAAATCAACTTCAAAAAATACTGTTCCAGCTAACTAATTTTCGTTTTTTAGTTGTGGTATTATATAATTTATATTTTCTTGTAATTTATTGCTAAATAATTGCTTATATGCACTAATTAATCAAAAGTTATTTAAGTTAAGACAGAGAATCGCAAAAAAAAAGAGTAGAGCTCAACTGTAGTGTGAATAAAATAAAAATTAAATATTTTAAGTGAGACATGTCTATATTGAGTAAATAGGGCTTTATGGTTATTGACTCCATAACACTCTTAGACATATCAAGAAGTATGGTTGCGTTTAAAACTAAAAGCAATTCTGTTAATAATATTTTGACACAATTAAAAGTACCACTTAAAAATATAGTTACAGCATTTAAGGTAAATGTTTATTAAAATTTTTTTAAGATACCAGGTGCCAGGTACTGCAAAAAAATGGCAAATTCTGGGTACTGGGAAAACAGTTGAATTACCGGGTACCCTAGTCTGAACCAGGTACCCCGCACATCACTACCAAGGATATGAAGCTTCTCCTCATATGACTTAAGCTTGATTTCTTTGTTTTTATTGCTCTTTGTTGAATTAACTCTAGTGTACAAATATCTCATGTTACAATAAATGTATACAAAAACTTGTATCAATTTATAGTAATGTGAAAAAAATTTTTTTTTTGAGAAATATAAATTTTTTCATTAAAAAACAAACTAGGTAAGAGCAATTAAAAAAAAAGACAAACTAGGTAAGAACAATTAAAAAAAAAAAAAAACTAGGTAAGAACAATTAAAAAAGAATTACTTTCAAGACTCACAAGAAAATCAATTAAAATTAATTAACGTTCAGAACTTATCCTAATCTCTCACAAATACGCTAAAAAATGTCTCACACATTTCCACAGAATACTTTTTTGTCCACACAAAATATGCATCTATTAGATGTAAACAACCTATTAATGCCATTTAAATTAAATGATCTTCAATTGTGCTTCATTATTCTTTTAATCACGAATTATACTAAAATGTTTAAATCATCTGTGTTTTTACACTTGTATGACATTTTAGATAACTTAGATAACAATTAACTTTTAGATAACTTAAGAAAAACTTGAGAGAATATTGAAAGTTCTTGATGTTTCTTGAAAGTTCTAAAGGTTTCTTGAAAGTTCTTGATATATTCTACTTTATTATTCTGAAAAGTTCTTGTTGAAAAGGTTTTATGAACTCTCAACTATGATATATATATATATATATATATATATATATATATATATATACATGCATTTTTTTAGTTTTTTAACTATTTTTAGATTTTTAATCAGTTTCATATGTATTTTTATCTACTAAAAGCAACAAAAAAAAAATCAAAAAATTTTCTTTTGACCCCCACTGCCGCTCTTTTTTTCGTATTTTTTTTTTCTAAAAAAATGTCACAAAGGACTAAAATTATTTTTGATAATCAACTATGTTCGCATTTTTTATAATTTTCTTGTGCAATTTTTTTTTAATAAAACTTAATCTAATGTCATTTTCAAAAAAGTTTCATAATTGATCCCCTCATAACCCCTTTAAAGTGTTTTTGCCCCAAAACAATCCTAACTATACTCCTTTTGTATATTTATTATTTATATCCAATATAATTAATTATTATTATAATTTTAAATAGTTTTGTAATAAATAAAAATAAAAATTTATTATTTTTATTTATTTTTATTTATTTCTAATTTTCACCCAATGGCGTATAAATATAACTAGATGCATGACTTTAATTAAAAAGTAAAGCCGACATCCGCCATCTTGCAGTACGGCAAAAAACTTGAATTCTGAAAGAGCAACATAGGGATATAAGCTTCATATTAACTGAACCTAAGTTTTTAGAAAAGTTTTAACAGTTTAATTTCTAAGAACCACTATTACTTGTTGAAAAATTGTTGAGATATGGTTATTTCGTGCTGTGCATATAGTTTAACAAATTGGCAAAAACTAAAACGAGGCGTGTCGTTTCACAGGTATGTTGAAACACTTGT